TTAGGAGGTGGGTCATAAAAGAACTTGCTGTGATTTATGTCAAAGAGTGTTTTTCCTATGTTTTCATCTAAGAGTTTTATAGTGCCCGGACATTTTTTTTTTTTTTTTTTTTTGCGGTACGCGGGCCTCTCACTGTTGTGACCTCTCCCATTGCAGACCACAGGCTCTGGATGCACAGGCTCAGTGGCCATGGATGACAGGCCCAGCCGCTCCACGGCATGTGGGATCTTCCCGGACCAGGGCACGAACCCATGTCCCCTGCATCGGCAGGCAGACTCTCAACCACTGTGCCAGCAGGGAAGCCCACTTACAATGTTTATTATAAACAATAATGTTATGAATATACTTGTATATGTATCTTGGTGCACACAGAATGCATTCAAAAAAAGTCAACAGAACTTAGGAAAAAAATTGCTAGAGTTTAGCTTGTCCAAACCTTTAATTTTACAAGAATATGATATTTTCTGAAGTTAGTTATTTCAATTTATACTTTGAGCAATAAGAGCTTTTTGCTTTTATATCATTCAATTATTTAAATTTTCAAATGTTTGCCATCTTAATGGGTGTAAAATAACATTTTTGTGGTTAATTTACATTTACCTGATTACCAATATTGTCAGGTAAATTTTCACTGATATTGATCACCATTTCACATGTTTGGTAGTTTATATTTTCTTAAAAACCTGTTTTTGCATTTTGCCTATATTTCTCTTAGCCTATATTATTTTTTATTTGTAGATTATATACATGTATGCATGTAAGTATCTTTGCATATTTTAAATAATACTTTCATGATTATCTGTATAGCAGATATCAACTCCCAGTAGGATGCCTTTATTGTTTCCTTATGATGTCTTTGAATGAACTTGAAGTATTTATTATATTGTAGTCAAATACATGTTTACCTTTTCATCATAGTTATCATATTTTGAGTCTTATTTAATAAATTATTTCCTACATATAGTAGGAAATAATTTCTACATATTCTTATAATATGTAATAATTTCCTACATATTCTCATAAACAATTTGATATTTAAATATTTTATCTGCTTGGACTTGGATTTGTGACTGTGTATGTTGTGTGGCATTAATTATTTTTTACATTCATTATATATGAATGTATATGATTTATATGAAAATCTTACCATAATTATATCAAGCAATAATTTCTCTTCTCCTTCATTTCCCATACTACCTGTCATCTTTAAAGTTTCACATTTGTATGACTTTTCTCTAGTTTTTCTGCTGAGTACCTCTGGCCAATTTATTTATGGTTGGAATTCACACTCAACTTATTTTCGTCGTGTCTTGTCTTTTATTGGCCCCATCTTCTTCCATATAAATTTTAGAGTAAGTTTGTTAAATTCCATTCAAACCTCTGCCAGAAATTAATGATAGCACATTAAATCTATGAATCATTTTGATCAGATTTTACATAGCTAAAATACTGACTTTCTATATAATGAAGAATTTATATTTCTCTAGTTATGTATATTTATGAATTCCACATAGTCATATATTTTTTCTCTAATAGAACACAAGTCTTTTATTTGGTGAATTTCTTTTTTCCTTATTTTTTGTGTGATTGAAATTTTATCTTTTTACTGCATTTCTAACACTTTTATCCTAGGCATAGAAATACAAGTGATATTTAGTCTTTGGACACTAATCTTTTTATCTGACTTTTTAGCTTATTAACTTAAACATTATAATTCATTTCTTTCCAATTCTTGTAAATATTACATTTCATTTTGTTTCTTACTAAGCTCTTAGGTACATCCCTTACAATAATGAATGGAATGGGTCATAGTGAATATTGTTATCTTGTTTCTAATTTTAAAGGTAATGTTTTCACATTTCTGTATCTCATGGTACTGTTTACTTTGGGATTTTTTTCAGATATCCTTTATCAGGATAAGGAAGTTCTTTTCTATTTATTGTTTGTTAAGAGCTTTTTATCAAGAATAGTATTTAATTTTATCACACACATTCTCTGCATCTTCTGAAATGATCAATTGCTTTTCCTCCTGTGGTTTTGTAATCTATTAATGTGCTGTACTATATTGATTTATTATATACAGGCAAACTACCTTGCATTCTTGGAATAATCCAGATATGCAAGGTAGTTTTGCTTGTATAAAAGTAAAGTATATATATATACTTTATATATATATATATTCATATATATTATATATATTTTTATATATATTTTAAAATGTATTTTTGCAGGTCAATTTTGCCTATAGTTTCACATTTTTCCACTGAATCTACCTATTTTTGCTTTGTTTTTATTTACATGATAGTAAATATGAGACAACACTTCAAGAATTTAATCTGCCGAGTGAATGCCATTTTTTTTCATAAGGGGGTACATGAGCTCAAACTATTTAAATTGTGGGTTTCAAACAAATCACATTTAATCAATCTGAGATGAAAGAGTCATAGTGAAAAAATGCCTACTATGAAACCATTGTAATGTAAACAATTGACCTTTGCTTTACCTAGAGTACACAATTGGATATTTAAATTTGTTTTCCTCACAGAAGAGCACATCATTCTTTTAATTTTATATTTATATGCAATATTCTGAAAAAAGCATATTCCTGTCACAGATTTTAAAGTTACTAATAATTTATACCCTAATTTAAAAAGGGTCCATGTCAAAGTGTACCAAAGGACTACTTCTGAAGATTTGATATATAACCATATTCACTGAAAATGTGTAGTTAATTTATGCCAAATGGTTGTTTGTTATTAACTTATATTTGTATATTAAAGGGTTGTTTTTAATATTGCATCATTATTAAGACTGGATATTTTTAATGTGGTAACTGTTAAGACACATAGCTTTCAGATTTTACCCAAAGCAAGCCAGCATGATACATACTTTATTTGTGTTATTCATTTTCTGACAATATGCTACCTAGTCTTGGATTGCAAGAAGGGGGATAAAGACTGGTTTATGTTACCAAACACTGTTTCTATTTCCTCTTGGTCAGAAGACTATATAGTCATATTTTCCTGATATCTTTATATTTAGAAACACAATATGCCAATGTTATTTGGGCAAAAGTGATGGACCCCTGACCCATTATATTTTTATGCACTCCTTTATATACTCTCCTCCTCCAAGCTTGGCCCATGGAAACTTTCCAGGCTAGACACCGTCCTCTCTCTCCCTCTCTTTTTTATACTTTCTCTATTTTATGAGGAAATTTTCATTCCTAATCCAGTCACATAGGTGAATTTCTTCAGGAACATTATCATTCAATATTGTGCAATTTCCATTCCTCCATATGATATATGTCACCATTCCAGAACTCACTACACTCTTAACATGCACTATTAGGTATTTCCATCTATAAAATAAAATGTTCAGCTTCATTTTTGTATACTGCTGTACCCCAAACCCTGCTGTTTACCAGGAATAGATCATAAACGGACAAGCTGTATTTCAGTTACATCCTACATTCTTCTACTAATCTTTTCAAACTAGACAAATTGTTTTGTAACCATAGTCATAAAAAAAGTGTAAAACAAACTGTGTGCTGAAACATAGGCAATTATTCTTATCATCCATACAACTTTGGATGCTGAATTAAAAAAAAAAGATGAAATCGTTTTTTACAACAATATGACACATACCAGAGTCATATCATTTTTCATGTTTTTCAGTCACTAAATACTATTATTGTATCATTTTATCTTCCCATTTAAAGACTACCTCTGAAAATGACTCTGGAATTATATTTATTTAGGAACCTTCGTGATTTAACATAGATAAGTCAATTTTACATTCGTTCAAAAATATTCTTCATGTACACTTTAGTGATCAATACCTATATCCTATAAATGACAATGTAGGCAAGATGTCTAGCGACATGAGACCGATTCTGCTCACTCTCATTACCCTTCAGGTTGACTTATTAAGGTCCAGTAGCTTACTAGTTAACCATCTTCCCAAATATCCCTAAATCATTCTTACTCCTACCTTCATGTGTTTTTATTTTGTTGAAGTGGTCCCTTTGCCCTTTGTTTAATGAAAAGTTACAGAATATTTCAGATACAAACCCTCAGGAATTCTTCTATTCCTACTGCAATACACATCACACTCCATTTTCCATGAAATATAACTGAACCAACTGTAATTCTTGTTGAAATCACAGATTTTTATCATATATTTTATGCTATATATATATAGTAAATATTATATATGATATACATGTTTATAATGTATTGATTTTATCTTTTTAACTTCATATCCCCTCCTTGCAGATGAAGACCATATTTTTCATTTACCTTATGTTACTTCTAACTCCTGTTGAAGAGCTAACAGTATAAGAAAATCTAATACACATTTCATTGATTGGGTAATTAATTTATCTTTTTAAAAACCACAATACAGTTGTAAGTATTCAACTTACCATCTAATCATTAATCAACCTGTAAAAAATGAAATATTAAACTAGGTATGAAAAGCACATTTGACCAATAGTAAATTTTCTCATTCAAAAATGACAATCCTAATACAATTTCACCAAGGAATGCTTTTGAATCAAAACTAATTGTTGACTTGTTTACCCTATTTTTCCTTTTTTTTTTTTTTTTTTTGCTTTGTTATTGTTGGATTGGGGATTTGATCCAAACAACAGAGCTATCAGTGACAGTTCAAGTACATCTGTGATAGATCAAGTGAGCCTATATAGATTCACAAAGTTCATCATTGACAGAGAATGGAAATTCATCATGACTTCAGAACCTAAGAAATATCAAGCAAACAGACTCAGTATAAAATTTTGGTAAATCAAGGATACTACAATAAAAATTTTTTAAAAAATAAAATTTTTGTCTAAACTAATCTCTCACAACTCCCACCTATTTCAATCTTCATGTATGTTAGTTAAATTTATTCCAATCTTTCCCAAAGGAAGAGTTAAATATATTTCTTACTACTCTAATTCTGGCTAATATTCCATCACAGATGACTTTTCCCATAACAACTTAACCTTAAACCCAGAAAAACTAGAAAAAGAGGAACAAAAAACCCCAACGTTTGTAAAAGGAAAGAAATCATAAAGACCAGAGCAGAAATAAATGAAATAGAGCCAAAGAAATCAATAGAAAAAAATCAATGAAACTAAAAGGTGGTTCTTTGAAAAGATAAACAAAATTTATAAATCTTGGCAAGACTCATCAAGAAAAACAGGAAGAGGACACAAATCAATAAAATTAGAAATGAAAAAGGAGAAGTTACAACAGACAGCAGAGAAATACAAAGGACGATAAGAGACTAACTACTGCAGACAACTATACGCCAATAAAATGGACAACCTAGAAGAAATAGAAAAATTCATAGAAGGGTACAATCTCCCAAAGTTGAACCCGGAAGAAATAAAAAATATGAATAGACCAACAACAAGTACTGAAATTGAATCTGTGATTTAAAAACTCCCAACAACAAAGAAAGTCCAGGGTCAGATGGCTTCACAGGGGAATTCTACCAAACATTTAGAGAAGAGGCAACACCTATCATTCTCAAACTCTTCCAAAAAATTGCAGAGGAAGAGACACACATTCTATGAGGCCATCATCACCCTGAAAGCAAAATCAAAGATATCACAAAAAAAGGAAATTAAAGCCAATATCACTGATGAACATAGATGCAAAAATCCTTAACAAAACACTAGCAAACAGAATCCAACAATACATTAAAACCATCATAAACCATGATTAAATGGGATTTATCCCAGGGATGCAAGTATTCTTCAATATATGTAAATCAATCAATGTGATACACCATATTAACAAATTGAAGAATAAAAACCATATGATCATCTCAATAGATGCAGAAAAAGCTTTCGACAAAATTCAACACCCATTTATGATAAAAACTCTCCATAAAGTGGACATAGAGGAAACATACTTCAACATAATAAAAGCCATATATGACAAGCTTATAGCAAACATCATTCTCAATGGTGAAAAACTGAAAGCATCTCCTCTAAGATCAGGAACAAGACAAGAATGTCCACTCACCACTTTTACTCAACATAGTTTTGGAAGTCCTAGCCACAGCAAACAGAGAAGAAAAAGAAATAAAAGGAACCCAGATTGGAAAATAAGAAGTAAAGCTGTCGCTGTTTGCAGATGACCTGACACTATTCATAGAAAATCCTAAAGATGCTACCAGAAAATTACAAGAGCTCATCAATGAATTTGGTAAAATTACAGTATACAAAATTAATGCATAGAAATCTCTTGCATTACTACACACTAACAATGAAAGATCAGAAAAATAAATTAAGCAAACAATCCCATTTATCATCGCATCAGAAAGAATAAAATACCTACAAATAAACCTACCTAAGGAGGCAAAAGACCTGTACTCTGAAATCTATAAGATGCTAATGAAAGAAATCAAAGACAAGACAAACAGATGGAAAGATATACCATGTTCTTAGACTGGAAGAATCAATACTGTCAAAATGACTATATCACCCAAGGCAATCTACAGTTCAATGAAATCCCTATCTAATTTATCACTGGCATTTTTCACAGAACTTGAACAAAAATTTTACAATTTGTGTGGAAACATAAGAGACCCTGAATATCCAAGCAATACTGAGAAACAAAAACGGAGCTAGAGGAATCAGGCTCCCTGACTTCAGACTATACTTCAAAGCTACAGTAATCAAAACATTATGGTACTGGCACAAAAATAGAAATATAGATCAAAGGAAAAGGAAAGAAAACCCAGACATAAACCCATGAACGTATGGTCAATTAATCTATGACAAAGGAGGCAAGAATATGCAATGGAGAAAAGACAGTTTTCAGTAAGTGATGCTAGGAAACTGGACAGTTACATTTAAAAGAATGAAATTACAACATTGTCTAACACCATACACAAAAATAAACTCAAATTGGATTAAAGACCTTAATGTAAGATGGAATACTATAAAACTCCTGGAAGAAAACGTAGGATACTCTTTGACAAAAATCACAGCAATATCTTTTTGGATGTGTCTCCTAAAGTAATGGAAATTTTAAGAAATTAAACAAATGGGACCTAATTAAGCATAAATGCTTTTGCACAGCAAATGAAACCATAAACAAAACCAAAAACCATCCACAGAATGGGAGAAAATATTTGCAAGTTATGCAACTAACAAGGGATTAATCTCCAAAATATACAAACAGCTCATGCAGCTCAATATCAAAATAAATAAATAAAACCCAACCCAATCAAAAACTGGGCAGAAGACCTAAATAGACATTTCTGTGAAGATATACAGACGGCCAACAGAAACATGAAAAAATGCTCAACATCACTAATTATTAGAGAAATGCAAATCAAAACTACAATGAGGTATCACCTCATACCAGTCAGAGTGGTCATCAAAAACTCTACAAACAATAAATGCTCTAGAGGGTGTGGAGAAAAAGGAACTTTCTTGCACTGTTGGTGGGAATGTAAATTGATAGCACCACTGTGGAGAACAGTATGGAGGTTTCTTAAAAAACTAAAAATAGGTCTACTATATGACTATGCAATCCCACTCCTGGGCATATATTCAGAGAAAATCATAATTCCAAAAGATACATGCACCCCAATGTTCATTGCAGCAGTATTTACAATAGTCAAGACATGGAAGTAATGTAAATGTCCATTGACAGATGAATAGATAAAGAAGCTGTGATACACACACACACACACACACAAACACACACAATGGAATACTACTCAGACATAAAAAATAATGAAATAATAATATTTGCAGCAACATGGATGGATCTAGAGATTATCATACCAAGTAAAGTAAGTCAGACAAAAAAAAATATCAAGTGATATCACTTATATGTGGAATCTAAAAATGATACAAATGAACTTATTTACAAAACATAAATAGACTCACACACATAGAAAACAAACATGGTTACCAAAGTAGAGGATGTGGGAGGGATAAATTAGGAATTTGAGATAAAGATATACACACTACTCTATATAAAATAGATAACCAACAAGGACCTACTGTATAGCAGAGGAAACTATACTCAATATCTTGCAATAACCTATAATGGAAGAGAATACAATAAAAATAATATATATATATATATGTATATATGCAAACTGAATCACTTTGCTGTACACCTTAAACTAACATAACACTGTAAATCAACTATATTTCAATAAACTTAACTAATTAATTAAAATTATATTTCCATTCCTCCCATGAGGTATTTTTCTTCTGCTCAATGTTATTCTTCATTAATAATCATGAAACATTTATCCATTTTTAGATAATTGATTAGAAAGTTTGATTTAGCATTCTTCTAAAATAAAGTTCCTTGTAGTCATAAGCAAACTACCTTGCTATTTATCTATTTCCAAATTCCTAAGAAGAATATAATGTGTGGGAGAAATTTCTACCTGGAAGCTTCTTGAAAATTAAAGTATGTGGATCCTTTATTGTCTGACAGTATTGCAAAAAAATATTGAATACTGTGAATTTATACATATCTTGACAGGGACTTAAAATGTATATTCGACTTCTACTATATGATCAATGAAATATTTCTAACTATACAAACTCTTAATATACAAGATAAGAAATAATTTTCTTAAACATATATCATCCAATTTGTCCTTTAATGCTGATTATTATTTCTAATACAGGAGATTTATGTCATTCAAAGTTATAAATAATTCCAGTTTGGTTTAAAACTGCATTGAAGGTTAGAATGTTTATTAAGAAAATATTTTAAATTACAAATAGTATAATCCACTTTATGGACAAAAGGAAAAAACATATATATATATGTATGTTTGTGTATTTGTGTGTGTCTATAAATATATCTGGACATAAATATATATGTAAATATGTAAACATAAAAAGTAACAGAAGTTTGCAACCAATGTTATGACAATGATTAGTTCTGGTAGGAATAAAAATGGGAATATTCAAATTTAACACAATGTATTTCTATATATTTAAATATTTTATAAGAATACGTGGTTGCATTATTATAAAATACAAATATTATATGATTAGATAATATATTTGAAAAATAAATAAATGGATCTTTTACCTTAAATTTAAATAAATACTTGCACATAATTCTACTATTCTATGATTTTATTATTTTTGCAAATTATATATAAACCTGCTGAAATAGAGTTTTTAATTATGGTGATAGAAAGGGATTTATGTTTTTATTATTTTTTTAAATCATTAACCTGTTGTCACAAACTGTTTTATTGTTGTTGAACTTTTTTTTTTTTAATCACAGATTTTAAATTCCATAGTTATCAAACCCTGAATGCATGGATCTGTCTCCTGGCTTTTAATAATATTTGGTTCATTAGTGAATGGAACTTAAGCACTTATTATACTCTTTTACATTGTGAAAATTAATAAAGTAAAACCCCACTAAAATGAAGTTGTGAGGCTATAAGGAGGAGCTCAAACATGCATACCACTTCAGGTCCATACAGATCCCAATAGGAAGAGAGGTACCTTGCATCTTTGGCAGGAAGTGACACTGCTTTACTACCACCAGCAGGAGGAAGAAAGTTTTTTTTCCTTGTTTGGCAAGAGCTCAGGTAGTGAGAGACTGTCACAACTCAGCCAATGAAAATCCACTATACTTTAAACTCCCAGTTTCCTCCAATGGGCTTTTGGTTTATAACAGCCCCTTACAACTTCCCCTTTCCTATAAAAATGTTTTTTCTACCTTACCAGACTTGTGTGTGGTTTGCAATAGTTTCATGTCCTGAATCACATAAGAATAATTTGGATATGCAAGCATGATACAAGTAGGCAAAATCTGAATATGCAGCCTAAAAATGAAAGCCTTTGATTAGTGTTTTCTGTGGGGATGTCTGTGGGGAGGAAAGTAAAGTCGAAAGAATAAGTTATTGACTATGGATTCAGAGATTTAAAATGTATTGTAATGAATGAGAGAACTAATCAGCAGTAAATGGCATAGGGATTTCTTTTGTGAATGTGCTTTTTCTTTTAGAGAGTCAGAAAATATTCTCAAGGTTATATGGACTGATGTAAAATTCTGTTTAATAGTTATTCAACTGTAATATTCATCATGATTTTTATATTCATGGTGCCAATTTGATTTTACATACATTCTTTTTTAATTGATACACATTCTAGTTACAAAATTGGATGTTTCAGATGTACAATATAGTGATTCAATATATTTATGGATTATACTCCATTTAAAGTTGTTATAACATATTGGCTACATTCTCTGTGCTGTATCATACATACTCATAGCTTATTTATTTTATACATAGTAGTTTGTACCTCTTAAGCACCTACCCCTATCTTGCCCCTCTCCACTTCCCACTCCCCACTGGTAACAAGTTGTTCTCTGTATCTATGAGTCTCTTTCTGTTTGGTAATATTCATTTGTTTGTTTTATTTTTTAGATTTCACATATAAGTGATGACATACATTAT